GTTTCCTTTTGTTGCCTCGTTGCTTTATTTCCTCTTCCTGCGTGCGTCTTCTCCTCAGTAGTGCGCATTTTGAAAAAAAAATTGTAATCTTTCAGCTGTGGAATCTCTCCTTTTACTCCTTTCTCATATACAAGTCTGTCGCTGACTTTTCTTGTTACCTCTTGTAAAAGATCATCGGGGCATGCGTAATCGAAAGCTTTTAAAAAAAATAACCCAGAGCTGCCTTTTTTTTTTTTTTTTAGGACGCATCTAAGATTTCTAGAGATCATTTCCATTCTTTAGTTATTTCCTTTTTGGTTGTTGCTGCTATGACGTTAAGCAAAAGGGATTAGATAACTGTATGGACAACGGCTCTGTAAAGGACTAATAAAGTCCATCTCTGATGCAACCATTCTGGGTGCTTGGGAGCAGAGGGCATTGACCACCCTGCCCTCCCAAAACAGTTTCTCCAGTTCCCAGTGTTGGAGGCAGACAGCTAGACTGCATGGACCATCGTCTGGGCTTTTCATAGGTTCTGAGTGTCCTGAGAGAGGGACATAGTGCTTTGTTGTATTTTGAAGTATTTACTCAGTTGCACTGTTCTCGGAAAACAAATTCTGTGCCTGTGACTCTTGGTGTAGGTAATAGCTTCACAGTTCACGTTGCACCAATACAACTTCTCTGTTCAGTGTATTGCTCCTGCTGGCTTCCAGACAAAGGTTTAACTGAGGGATAATAATGCCTCCAGATGAATGTTGCTTTATAGCAGTACATACTGTTGGGGGGATTTCAGTGAAGATGCGAGTTGTTATAATTTTATTTTTAAATATCAAGGTATCTTACAGTACACAGAGAAATGATACCATAGAATCATAGAATAATTTGGGTTGGAAAAGACATTTCAGACCACCGAGTCCAACCATTAACCCAGCACAGCCACGTCCACCACTAAACCATGTCCCTAAGCACCGTGTCTACATGATCCCCAGGAATGGAGACTCAGCCCCTTCCCTGGGCAGCCTGTTCCAGTGATTGACAACTCTTTGAGTGATGAAATTTTTCCTGAAGAGACTGACACTTAACCTCTCTGCAGCCTCCTTACAGGTACTTGTAGAGAACGATAAGGTCACTCCTCAGCCTCTTCCAGGGTAAGCAACTCTAGTTCCCTCAGCTGCTCCTCGTAAGAAATGCTCTAGACCCTTCACGAGTTTTGTTGTGCTTCTTTGGACCCAGTACAGCACCTTGTTGTTCTTCTTATAATGAGGGGCCCAAACTGAACCCAGTACTTGAAGTGCAGTCTTGCCAGTGCTGAGTACAGGGGGATGGTCACCGCCACACTACTGCTAGGCACACTGTTTCTGACACAAGCCAAGATGCTGTTGGCTGCCTTGGCCACCTGGGCACACTGCTGGCTCATAATCAGCTGGCTGTCAAACAACACCGCCAGGTCTTTTTCCACTGGGCAGATTTCCAGCCACTCTTCACCAAGCCCGTAGCATTGCCTGGGATTGTTGTGACCAGGTGCAGGACCCTCGTACTGTTGGCCTGGGCCCATCGATCCAGCCTGTCTGTGTCCCTGTGTAGATCCTCCCTTCCCTCAAGCAGGTATGACCAACAAAACAGTATCTTTTAGAGTATCCAGAGGCTGCCACTTAAGAGGCGTAAATAAATGCTATTCATATGCCTGTTTAGGTAACTAGGACATCACATTTCTCCTGATGTGAAACCTGAGGTGTTCTTATTCTGTAAGCTTGGCTGTGCAACAATGAAAATATTACCAGTTTAGAAGGAGGTGGGGAGTAGCAACCCAAGCAGGAGTATGGGGACTTGCTGTGTTACCAGGGCCTGTAACCAGGCCTGCCTCCAAGTCTTCACTGTTACTTTGGAATAGATCAGTCAGAGCTAGCATTATCCCTTTTCTGTCCCCATTTCTTTTTTTTTCATCCCTATAGGCATGGTCTGAATGACAGAAGAGTAAAAGACTCATTCTGAACTTTCTGGAGGCCTGTGGAGGATTGCTCCCCTTCACTGTGAAAGCATGTATTAATATATTATTAGAGCCTGCAGATTTCTGTCGTACCTTCGAAATGCTGACAAACACAAGACACGGATTAAAGACTGCAAATGCAGATTAAAGTTTTCAAAATCCTAAATAAATTCAGGAACTTTGAGCTTGTTTCATGTCATGATTCTGGTTTTTTTGTTGTGGTGGGTTTTTTTTGTTTGTTGTTTTTTTCCTTCATGTCATCCTACTGCTAAAATGCAGCTGCACAACAGTGAAAACTGAGTGGTCCTTTAACTTGTGGTTCTGGGTGGTTTTTTTTTTAATTGTAAAAACTGTAATGCCTGTAGGTGCTTTTGTTGGGCTTCAGAAGGGTCTCTTGCCAGTGGTATTGCCTTGCTGTCCATTCTGCTGGTTTTTTAACTTCCTTAAAAAAACAAAATGCAGCACAGCACGTGCCTTGTGGAGGTTCGTTAGGGATTAGTGCTAAGCTAATGTGAGGAGGGTGATAGTCACACCCGTATCACTTGGAGAGGTGATGTTTCTCTTCTGCATTCCCAAGAGCTTTTGGTAAGGCTGCCCACAGCACGCAGTACAGCATTTGAACTCATTTTTATCTCTTTCTTCCCTTCACAGCTGGGGCAGCAAAGGACAGAAGGACTTCAGGATGTCTGTAATTCAGCAAGGGACGGCAACACATAGGAAAGCAAAGAAAATCGCTGTAAAAACCAGTCTAGATAACCCCTTTGTCTTTCAGTGGAAAACCATAGATGGAGATGATATGCATTTTATACTACAGACCTTAGAAGAAAGGATTAAACATATTGGACTTAAAAAGATTGAGACTCCAAGAAAGAAAAAACACTCCCGTACAAAAGAACAGGCGGAAAAAAAGCCCGATGGCAGCACCAGCGAACTCCCTAAAGAAGAGGAAACGGAAGGCCACCGACAGCAGACAGGATGGACCGACATAAGTATCAGAAGACAGCTTGCTATTGGAGTTAATGAAGTTACAAAAGCACTGGAAAAAAACGAGCTGCTACTGCTGCTGGTGTGCAAGTCGGCGAAGCCTACCATGATCACGTCACACCTCATCCAGCTGAGCGCGAGCCGGGCCACGCCGGCCGGCCAGGTCCCCCGCCTCAGCCACACCGTCGCACCCCTGCTGGGCTTGGCGTCCGTCTTGGCACTGGGCTTCAAAAGGCAGTCCCATGCGTTTACTGAGGCAATAGAAGCGATCGTTCCAAAGATACCGGCTCTGGAAGTGCCCTGGTTTCAGCTCAGAGCTGAAGAACCAGATTCTTCGGAAAACCATGAACCCAGGCAGCTTACGGAAGCGCTGGAGGATGAGCTCAAAAGCCAGAAGCGGAAGCGCAAGGAATGCCATCGGCTCGACCTTTCAAATGTCATCCTACAGCCTCTGAAAATCAAGAAACTTGTTCCAAATCCAAATAAGATAAAGAAGCCGTCTCACAAAAGGAAAAAAGCTTTTTCAGCATAACCGATGCCAGTTTGGTTCTTCGTTTTGAACAGTTTTCATGTGGTACGGAAGACAGCTCTGACTGAAGCACCTTGTTAGGCTTCACAGCATAAAGCACATGAGTACAAGGTGAACTTTATGTTGCGTTCAGCTGAGGTACTTTCTGCTTTAGTAAAGAATGTTGCCTAAATTTGGGTGCGAGTCTTTTTCTGGGGGTAAATGTTTCATTTGCAGTTGGAGATCACAGGGTTAAAATCGGCTGTGAATATGCCAGAGTCTTTTAAGACATAGTAAGTACAATCTTTGGGATTAATGCAAAGCATTAAACTAACTTTGCGTTTTTATACAGGTGAACACACTTCAGGCAAACCAAATTTGAGTTCATTATTCAAACGAATCATACCAAAAGTGAAAGTTTATTTAAACAAAGGTCCATGCCAGTATAACTCATTTAAAGCTGGTTCAATGCATGTTTCAAGTAAACAGCTGTAACAGCACAGGCAGACTTCCCTTTTGGTCTTTCACAGTTTGCTCTGCTGAACAATAAAATTATTTTGGTGAGGAACATATGCAGGCTTGGGCTCCATCTAACCCCTGGTGCCCAACAGGCTAAAGGAGAAACTTTATTTTCAAATACAGAACGAACCCAAACTATCACTGCTGCATTTTGAGAAAAAGGTTTCTGTATGCAAACTATAAATACACATCCTGTGAGAAAAATGCAAACTAACCTAAACTCAATTTGGTTTTTAAATGGAGACTAAAATTATTTCCCAGGACGTTGAGATGAGCCATATACTGTTGCATATAAAGTAGATGACAGTTGTAACTGCTACAAGACTGAAAACCTAGCACATGACTTTCCTTTTGTTTTACTGAGGACTACAAAGTTTCCCAATGAGACCACTGTGTTGTAGGAAGGAACGGGAATAGTGCTGCAATTAATAAAGATCAATGGCCTAGGAGTTTACTTGGTTCTCTCTCTGTTCTAAGCAGAAGTCAGTATTATACTGTAGAAGAAAGCATAAAATACCTTGACTGAGTTACTTTGTTGTTCCTTAAAGGTGGAATTTACATGCTATACTTTTCAGAGATTTGCTAATGTAGCCTCCCAGCGCCATCAGAGAGCTAATCTGTATTTTGGATTGATTTAAGTTACTTTAGTTCATGATACCAACCACAAAGCGAGGCAGTAGCAATGATTCTATAGTTACAGTGCTTCCTGAATTTTAAACTGAACCAAGACATTTAATGCCAGAATTGTCACCCTGCCTGGCTGAGGGTGGTGGGAAGAGGTGGCTTTTTTTGCCTTGCTTCATAGTCCTTCAAATACGTCCTTTGTTCTGGCAGTTTGGATGCATAAAACTTTGAGGGCATGCTAGCACTAGCATATTTAATTCCCATGCTGGCCAGCTGTACCCTGCCCATCTCAGCCTTTCAGCAGAGTCCGAGGATTAGCTTTGGCAAAGAATGTTAAGCGCAGGAATCGTCTTTCAAGCACTTTGCTGCCTGCCCAGGTCTGTAGATCTCTTCAGGGATTTGTGTCCCCTCTGCCAAGAGGAAGTTACTCTGGGAAAGGAATTATGGATGTTTCAAGACTGGTGGGAAAGGTGGTGGAGTAAGCCTCAAGTTTGCCAATCTTTGTGAAACCATCCATTAGGTTTTGAGGAGTCTTAGCTAGCAGCTGTTCAAAGCAACCCTAATGCACACAGGTTCAACTTTGGAAACAAGAGAAGAGCTTCTCCTATTGAGCTGCTGCCAGTGGAAGAGTTGCACGGATAATCTTTCATTAAATACCTGCTTAGGAAGTGAGAGCGAGTTGCCACAATTTCCACCTCCTGAATAATTGCATGGGTGCAGATGTGGACACCTTCAAGATTCATAACCTCTTGACACCGTGCTACTTCAGCAAAGCACCTAAGGTGATGAGTACTCAACAGGGACAAAAGAGACCATGCTGGATTACACAGCTGCTAGGTAACACACAGAGGTTCAGTGACAGAGCTCTCCAGGAACAGCCCCAACACTCGGACACAGATGCCCTCATGCCCTCTGCCCCAGGAAGTTTTTCTCTCTCCTCTATGGTTCTGCACAGCTTCTACAGAAGCACCACTCAGCCCTCCTTCCCCCCCACTGAACATGCAGGGCAAGCCAGAACACAAGGCAGAGTTTACCCCTTGGGTTCAGAAGCACCATTGTCCCAGAAGACGGCACAAGAGCGGCCACACTCCTTCCTTCCTGTGCAGTTGATCCCAAGATGAAGGTGGAAAGCCAGACTGCAGGAAAACCAGGTTCAAGTCTGCCTTCTGCCTAGAGATACTTGGTCCCATTGTGGCCTTGACACGTTTCCAAACGACAGTACTGGGGAGGTTTTGCCTTCTGATTTCAGAGAAGAGAGGAGAAAAGAAAATAATCTGCCTGGGAAATTCTAGAAGAATTTCTTTCACTTGCATTTTTTTTGGGGGGAAGAGAAGGCAGAGATCATGAGCGTACCTTTCACCTGGCATTCAAGACCACCTATCCAGGTTAGGGAGAGCTGTGCCATGATCATTTCTTAGCACGGAAGTCCCTTAGCCACAAGGACAGAGCTATGCCCCACTGTCCCAGCTCACATTAGGCAGCAGCAGAGCCAGGACTACCAAGGCTCTGCCTCAAGAGCCAAAGCAGAACGCACTGAGCCCCTTGGTGAACCTCCTCCTCATCCCAGCAGGCTCCAATGTGATTGCTCAGCCAGGAAGGCACCTTCCTGCTTTTTGGGAATTAGGAACTTACATCTTTCATGGAGTTGAGATTAAACCCTTCCTGTTACCTCACATATCACTGCCATCAGTTACGTTTTCAGGCACTTAATTCTGCTCAGGCCCCACACAGGTAGTCCAGGCTCCCTCTGCACCATCTGTTATGAGCGTGGCAAGCGGGCAGGTGTCATAGAGTGGCCAAAGCTGTCAAGCCCAGCTGCACCATTAGATGTCTGAGAGATCTCCTCTGAAGCCCTTTTAAATTCATGAAGTCCTGAGCTGCTGCACACTCAGGGGTCAGACAAACCACGTTCAATCCCTTCCTTTGTTTGAAGGAGGTCAAAAGCTTTAATCACAAGGCTATAATGCAGTCAGGGAAAGTATTTATCACTGTCTCTAGGGCAGAATCCTCTCACCACAATTCAACAAGAAAGAGAAACCAAACCACAAACCATTCACACATAAGGAAAAGGGCGGGAAGAAAGAAAAACCCCACTACTGTGAGCAAGTAGGTAGGGCTAGTAGTTATGAAGAACAGACAAATTTATCTTCATCTAAATTGAAGTTTTCAGGTACAGAATTCAAATTTCAGTAAAATCTGCTGTCATAATTACAGGCATATTTAAACGGAAAGTTTAGACATTTGCATTTCATGAGATATTCAAGTCACATTCAAAAGATGCTCACAGGACAGAGGCTTCACTACCACAATTTGGCACTTTCAGCTAGAACAGTTTCTTACTGCTGACTCTCGGTGCTCACGTTCCCGCAGCGCCCGTGAGCTGAGAGAACTGCTATCGTATCTAGCCAGGACGCTACGCTGGAATGCAAATAAAGTGCTTCAGAAGCAGCTCTGCTTGCCGAGCAGTCATGAGGGAATTGAAACGGCTCCCCCGGACAACAAAGATCAGCCCTTCTACATCTCAGGAAGCGCAGTACAGAGACTTCCAAGGACTGAGGGTAGAGCATTTCTCTTCTGCTTACCAGCCACATATATAGCAAAACTTCCTGTTCCAAAGTCAGGATAAAAACACTACCAGGAACGATTTATGAATACATATTTACACAAGATACTTTTCATTAGAATTACAGACTTCATAGGAAATCAAAGTAGACAAAGGAATATGTGCAATTTCGCAGAAGCGTTGAAAACATTCAAACTATAAATATCCTGATAGCACTACTAAAATTCTTAGTTTTACACACAGGCCGATGTTATTCTACTGAGGAAAAACTAAGGTTTTGTGCCACAACTGTAAATTAAGTACAGTAACGTATTATCATTCCGCTAACATAGGTAACACCTGCACTGAACAGTGCGATACTGTTAAATCAATCCACTGATCTATTGAAGATCAAAGTACAAATCTGTATTTTTATTGATTTGGCAGCATTGCTTATGGAGAAACAAATGCACTAGTTAAACCAGTACACTGTCATACTGCTCCAGTTACAAAAACACCCATGACTTTCATAGAGCTACAAACGTATCCTACTTCATGATCTTCACCCAAATGATGGATATCCACGTGAAGTAAATAAGCAAAGATACTTGAGTTTGTATCTTTCATTCTGTTACACTGACAAACATACACCACCACTTAATAAATTGAAATGCAGCAGTTCATCCACATAATAGCAAATATTTTTGTACCCTAATCCACCACTGAAGTTCAGTTTGTACAAAACAGTCTTTTCTACAAAGTGGAAAAAAAATACCTTCTTCTCATCAAGGTGCAAGCTAAGCTCTGAAACTTAAATGAATGTGCTTTTCTTTTCATGGACAATAAAAGTGTTTCATGGACCTTCTGATCTATCTGAAAAATGCATAAATTTGGTCACATATGGATGTCTTCATTGTTTAGGCTTAATGGATTATTTCAGTATCACCGACGTTGTGCTTTTACTTCTCTTGAACAATACTGATCCAAGAGTTATGGAGATCAAATTAACTGAAATGATGACCTCAAGAGTTCTAGAAACGTAAGTGTCCTCACTGTAATACAAGACCGACCTAAAGGAAGAAGAAAAAAATACAGTATTTTAGTCCAGATACGCAGACAAAGCTACACATCACCAGTTTTCTGCACCTCAATTAGGGATCTTAAATATGACCAATTAAAAAAGTTATTTTAAAACTTCTGCCCCATTATGGCCAGTGTAGATTAATGTACCATTACCCCTAACAGAATTCAGAAGCTCTTTTTTTAATCCCTTACCTTTTCAGACTCCATGCCAGGACACTTCCAGTTGTACAAATAATACTGCAAATTTCCATCTCCA